AATTTATTTGATCATTATTTAAAGCTCATGCGTCAAACATTATGAATATACAAATAAACAAGTTAATCAATAAACAAACAAAAGGGAATAAAACAATCAAATAAATATGCAGTATGATATATGCCATATAACATATTTATTTAATTGTTTCATTTAAACATAATAATATCTAAGTTAATTTTTACCTTCCTTATCAATTTCGTTATTTTTAGAATAGTAAAAAAATACTTTTTTGAAAGAAAGAAATACTAATGTATAATATAGTGAGAGAAAAAAGAAATATTTATTATTATTGAAATATTTGCAAGTAACATAAGAAACAAATAATAAATAAATATTATAATTTTATTTATGCAAAATTTTGCTTTGAATAATCATTTAGACTTATTTCACATTCGCTTATTATACCAAATTTAGTTATAATTTCTTGATTTTTATCGCTTTTTAGCTGTTTGAAATATTTTATAAAACTATTATTGAATTTTTCATTATGTAAAAAAGAAAAAGCAAAATAAAAATTACTCAATAAATATTAACACATGAAGAAAATGATTATATCTGTCAAAAAAAATACCTGTTCTTTAAAAAAATACAAAAAAAAAAAAATTTGTTGGAAATTAAAAATTCAAACGATAATAGAGAAAGGATAATGAAAATGGAAAATGGAATTAAATTACTAGAAATGGGCAAAAGTTGATAAAAAGTTAAATTTATTTTGTACCAGTCACTACCGCTTCCTAATGTGCTTCTTGAACTTTTTTCTTCCTTTTGTTTTTTTTTTTTTCCTCTACCATATGCTTTATTTTTATCATCAATCTCTTATCACCTATCATTTTAGTCCATTCCGCTGGAAATAAAAATACATCTAAAATTTTTTTCATTTCTTTATTATCAATTTCAAATTTAGTTCACAGTTATTTTCACAATTAAATGCTATAACTTAATAATTTGTTTCAAAATTTCTATTTTAAAAAGTTTAACCCTTTTGTGAAATATCGGCATATTGAAATTTTATGCATTTCAAGTAATTGTTAATTTAAAATATTTTGAAAAACATTCTTGGCATGATATATTACTATTTGAATAAACTCGTGCAAAATTATTAAAATTAATGAAATGAATGAAAGATTTATACAAATGCATTTTAGTAATTAAACCTGAAATAATGAAATTTTCGAAAATGATAAAATTAATTATTGTTTTCGGAAATTACTTTGATATTTTCTCTATTGAATTTAATACATTTATTTTTTTTTATTTATTTTTTCACAATTAGAAGTAACAAATTTACAAAACTTTTCGTTTTTCTTTTTTCTCTTCTCCAAAATTATTCAAATTTCTTCTTATGATGCATGCATTTCATTTATATTTTCAGCAATAGTTACTAATCAATTATCACTTGTGTTAAACTTTAAATAAAAAACAAAACAAAACAAAAAAAAAAAAAAAAAAAAAAGAAAAAACAAGCTGATAAATGATTATAATTTGAAATTAGTCTAATCAACATTTTAAGCTAACCATCAATTAATCATTAAATCAAAAATGTCCTTTTTTTTTTAAATCATTTTCTTTCTTTCTTCAATTTCTACATTCAAATAAATGTTTTACTACTGTGTTTTTTCTCAACTGTAATTTTCGTGTACTTTGTGAAACTTTTTTTACATTTTTTTTTCTCTCTCTCTCTCTCTTTCTTTTCTTGGAGAGTTAAAATATTTCTTAGTTAAAAGTTTTTATGAACTAAAAAAAAAAAAGGAAAGGAAAGGAATAGAATAGTTGTGAGTTGAAAAGATTCATTAAATATTTCATTTAACAAAAGAATTTCAACTTTTTTTTTTTTGAAAAAAAAAAAACCCACTTAGGTTATTTTGTTGTTGCTATTGTTATTGTCATTGTTCTTGTTGTAATTGTCATTATTACTATTGTTATTGTTGTTGCTATGTGTTATTACTACAGTAATCGTGTCAAAAACTAAAGCCAATTTGTATACTAATTATTTGTCATGTGATAATTAGTTACAGGTTAATTAGGAATAGTTTATGATTTTGTTTCAGTTTATAATGGTAATATATGAGAATGTGATATCAGCAATTCTTAATGAATCATAATAATTTTCTTCTTTAATACTACCGGAAATGTTTCAACATTATGCAAAAAGAAAAAGGAAAAGAAAAAAGAAATTCAAACAGAAAACAACATTTATTTTTTTTTCCCCGGGCTATTTGCCCTAGATGATACAAATTAGCTGAAAAAGAAAAATAATAATAAGAATAAAAATGAAGAACCAATCAATAAATAACGGTTATATATTTCCGTTCCAAGAAAAAAGAAATAGATCAAAAACAATCTTTCAAATTTTCAAGAAACAAATTCGAATTTACAGTTGTGACAATTGATTTTTAAGAAATGAAATTTTCTTTTAAGTCAGAAAATTGTACTCTATTTATTTAGCATCAACTAATATCAGTATCTGATAACACGATAATCAAACAAATGATAACAAGATAATGATAATGATAATGATCATGTGGGAATGATAATGATTTACTGAAGTGGAATTTAGGAATATATTGCAACTAAACGATACAAAAAAGAAAAAAAAAAGAGATGTATTTGATAAAGAAAGTGTGATCCAGAAAAATTAAGAATGGAAGCAAAAAAAAAAAAGTTTCAATATGTAAGAACAACAAAAAGAAAAAATATATAATTCAAAAGCTATAAAAGTTATTTTTATTTGATAAAAGGATTCAACCGACAAACAAATTACTTTGATAATTTATATTAATAATAAAAATTAAAATCAAGAAAAAATATTTGGCTTTTGCTTAATTTATAATTAGAAAAACAAAAAATGAATGATTTCGTGTAAAATTCTTTCTTCAGAATTTCGAATTTCAATTTCTTTTCTTTTTTTTCTTTTCTTCACCTATTAATTTGAAACTAACTAACGGATTAAAAACAGTATTAATATTTTAAAGAGTGGGAGAGACAGAGAAAGAGAAAGAGACAGTGGGAAAAAGGAAGAGAAGAGAATGTTTGAATTGTTGGAAACAAAATTAAAGGAAAATGAAAAGGTACTCTACACAAAAGGCACATTTGAACAATATAAAGAGAGGTTACATTAAGGCACGTATATATAATTTAATGAATTTGAAATTTTGTTCTAAAAATTGTATTATTGATAGATTCCATAGAACAATACTATAAATTATAGAAGAAAAGAGAAGGAGATGAGGAGAGAAAAAGGAAGGAGAAGAGATAAACTGATAAAAAGTAAATGATAAGATTTCTGAATTGATAAAGAAAAATACAATGTAATATATATTTTAAAAAAAAAAAAAAAAACGAAGAAAACAAAAACAAATTTTTGAAATTGAAAAAATTGAAATTTTAAATAGAAGAAATAAGAGAAAGAAGAAGAGGAGAAAATAACAAGAAAAGAATGATAAAGAAAATTATGTATATATATTTTTTTTTATCCAAACAGTATACTGTTTTTTTGTTTTTTTTTTTTTTTTTTTGTTTTTGTTTTTGTTTTTTGTTATTTTCATAAATAAAACCCATTTTAGTTTCAAACTTTTATTGATTGAAGAAAGAAAAGAAAGTTGAATAAAAGAAATTAATTGGTGTAATTTCTGGAATTTTCATGAATGTTTGAAATTCAATCATACAATAAAGCGTGCACAATTTACTGCTAATTGATAAGAAATCTAATGTACACGATGATTATAGTGATATGATATGCTGAATAAAATAAGAAAGTAAATGAATCACTAAATTATGATCAATTTATTTATTGATAGGATGAAAATAATATGAAAGGTAAACTTCTTCAAATTAACCTATATTTTTTCAATTTATTAAAAACAATAAAATTATAATCGGAATGAATTTATGACATAAAAATAAAAACAATTTGTATGTGCAGGAATATACCAAATTATTTTAGTGTAATCATTTTAAAGTGTTGACAGATAAAACTTTAATATTTATATAAAAATTCTAAATTTATTGGATACCATTTTGACCGATTAATTTTTTTTTTTCCTTTTGTCACCTATATACTACAATCAAAACTCATTTGTTATAAGTTTTTCTATGTTAAATTCACTTATAAATTATGATTTATATTTAAATTGCATAAAATACAAAAATGATATCTAATGAAAGAAAAGAGAAAAAGATATTATTAAATCAATATATTTGATATAATAAAGCTTAAAAAATTTACTACTTTCATCTCTTACAAATCATAATTAATGAATGAATTTAAGATAAATCTATACATGAGTTATGATTGTAGCAAGCATTTATCAGAGATTGCCTGATAATATTTTTGAAAATGATTACACTAAAAAATTATAGATATATTCTCACATACAAATTTATATCATATCATCTATGCATTTGATATTTTGTTGACATTGTATGGTATTATTTCACTTATGATTCATTCTTTATTACTTACGATAAAATGAAGTGTGAAAAAAAAAAGCCATCTTGACCTATGATAAAATTTGTATGACCTCAACAATGGTTATTTATAAATTGACCATATCATAATGAATTCATTTCATTCATTTTACAGCATATTATATCATTACATTTAATGTTATTATGTATATATATTATGTATATGTATATATATAGAAAAGAAAAAAAAAGATCGATAATTGATATAGTTCATCACTTTGTTTTATCAGTATTATCACAATCATTCATTTTTTTTTTCCTTCCTTTTTCTCTTTTTAATCAAAAAAAATACAAGTAGAAAAGAAAAAGAAAAAAAAGATATTTAATTTATAAATGAAATTATTAATAAATATATCTTATTATTATAATATAATGTCTTTTTTTTAGAAAAAAATATTAATTGTAAATTTGAATTAATTAAAAATTGATAAGTAAACATTAAAAGTTGAATAAAATTAAAAGAGAAAATGGAAGAAAACAAGAGATAGCTAAAAAAAAAAAAAAAAAAAAAAAAAGAAAGAAAAAAATGTTTACTCCATATTACATATTACTGATTGTATTTGTGAGTAAACTTTACGGCTATGTGTTACCCATTGCTTATCAAAATCAGTGCACGATTCAAGTAATGAACCAGCAATTACACCAATACGGCGCATTAATTCACGGGTATTTTTTAATTCAATTCGTTTTGCTTCCAATGTTTGTTCTAATTCAGCAACCCGTTGTCGATGGGTTTCACATTGCTCACAACCTTTCTGAATGGAAATATCTGATGATTCTAAATCATCTGATAAATGATCTGCTTCGGATAATTGCGCTGGTGATTGCATTCTGCCTTGCATAACATTTGGTGATATTTTTTGAGGGCTGAAACAAGCAAAATTTAAAGTAATGTTATCTTTTTTTTTTTTTTTTTTTCTTTCGTCCTCTTTTTTTAAAAATAAGATATATTCGAAAAAATTTATTTTAAAAGAAATTAACTTTTTTTCATTAAAATTTGTAAAGTTTAATCAGAATTAGTTAGCATAAAATTTTTCATATAATTTCATTTTAATCTTTTTTTTCAATTTCAAAATAAATTATACCTTGAGGAACACGATGAATTTGTTGTCGTATCCGAATGAGTAATAGCATCTTCAGAAATCCCTTTTGCATTTGTAACTGTACCAAATATGGATGGAAGTGATGTTAGAGAAGCATTCATTTTACCCTAAAATAATTTATCATTTAAATAGAGAGAGAGAGAAAAAAAAAGAAAACAATTTCCATTTTAGTTTCAAATTGTAAAAATTTTTATATAATTCACTTTAAATTTACTATTACTATTTTTTTTTTTATTTATTACTATTATTATTATTATTAAATAACTGTTCTATTTAGGAATTAACTGAAAGATGAAATTAAGCAACTATTTAAGAATTATTATGCAAAACAACTGATAGTATCATATATATTTATGATTTTTTTCTTTCTCTATAATGTATACAATATAACGGTTATTTTTAACATTAAAAATACTTTAAGTGTAATTTTTTTTTTTATTTCTTAAATTCTAAAAATAACCGTTATATTATTAATGGAAGTTCAATAGACGACAAATGGATAATCCAACGTTTATGACAGTGAACAGAAAGGATGTAGAAATGAAAGCAAAAGATAAACATTCATGATGAAAATGTAATGTAAGCTAATATCATCAATGAGGAGAAAATAAGCAAAAATAAACAAAACATGAAAAAATAAAAACAAGATGGAAAATTTAAAAAAAAAAAAGTAAACAGTAAAGAAAAAGACGAAATGATTACCTCTTTATCGAAATGTTCTTGAAAGCAATTTTGCATGCTTACATTGACGATATTATTGCGAAAATGAACAAAGCTAAGATGTAGAGTAAATGATGCTTGCGTATTGAAATGCTTCATGCAGAAAATGCAGAAGAATGTTTGTCCAGTTGGTTGCTGGTTGTTTACACCATTAGCTAGTAAATTTTGTGCAAAATTTTGCAATGCACTTGCTTGCAATAATGGATTTCCTACAACTGCATGTGCAGCTGCACCATGATGTGCTGCAGCTGCTGCAGCAAGAGCACGTTGTTGCTGTTGTACAGCTAATACTTGTGCAACCTGTAATTTTTGCTAATGAAAATAAAAAAAAAATCTTGACTAATTACATCATAGAAAATATTTCCAACTTATAATACCTTCTTCTAAAGAATGTATGACTAAGTATACAAGGAAATTCAACAAGGAAAAAAAAGAAAAAAGAGGATGCAAATCAAAATATTTGATATTTTTGTAGTCGAAAAAAAGAAAATGTTAGAAAATTTATTTCTTTTTTTCTAAAAAGAGTGATATATTATTTTATTGTTCATTTTATTTTAATTTCAAAAAGAAAAAAAAAATTAAATAATGTCTCATAAATTGATTTGTTTCTTTTTGCTTTTAATTTAATCACAAAATAAAATAAGAAACATTCTAACCTTGCTCATTTCTTCGGCGGAAAAAATTGGTGGTACAACTACTGCAGCATTTCCTGCTGCTTGTCGTTGTTGTTGTTGCTGATGACGTTGTTGTTGTTGTTGCTCTTGTTGTTGATGATGATGGTGGTTGTGCTGTTGCCGTTGTCGTTGCTGTTGCTGCTGTTGTTGTTGTTGTTGTTGCTGTTGTTGTTGTTGCTGTTGTTGTTGTTGTTGCTGCTGCTGTTGTTGTTGTCGTTGTTGTTGAACTGAAATAGACTGTCGTCTATGTCCTGGTGATGATTGTGTTGATGTTCGTGATTCTGACTTCATAACAATACCATTATTTCCAATACCATTAACGGTATCAGTCATTGGTGTACTTGTTCGTGTTATTGGTTGACTTCTGCAATTATCACAAGAAATTACTACTATTTAAATTTGATATTTTAGTCCTTTTATTGTTAGTTATATTTTTATTAGCAAATTCTTTTAACAATTTACTTCTTAGCAACTTTTTTCAAGAATTTCATTGTATTCATTTCATATTGAAATAGAGGTTTCTCTTTTTTTTCTCATTAAAATTTTCTTATCATAACATTTGTTAATATAACAAAAAGGCAATTCAAATGTCATTTTTGTTGATTACACAATTTGATATACAGTAACAGCAATTTTTTGTTAATAGATTCTCATTCAATGATGATGCAATTGCTCATTAAACTTAGCTACCGCATTCAAATGCTATCAAAAAAGGTTCCAATCATTGGTCATTAAATTCTTTTTAACCAACAAAGAAAATTATTCAATTGATAGATTAGATAGATAGACAGATAGATAGATAGATTAGTTAAATTATTTATCGCAAATAATCCCAATTTTAAGAAAAGTTTGAAATTAATTAAATTTAAATTAATCTTTGTGTAACGCTAAATTTTGCTTACATTTTTGAATTAAACTAAACAAATTAAATTCTTTGTATGAAAAGATGATATTTTTGTATGAATTTTTTTGAAAAAAGTAATTATTTCTATCCGACATTATTACTTATTAGTCGATAATTTTATTTGAATTGTTAATCAAGACGTTTAGACTGAATGTATTTATTTATTTATTTATTAAAGTAATTATTTTAAAACTAAAATTTCATAAAATTAATGTGATTATTTCACTTATCATAGTAGAATTGAGAAGTTAAAAAATAAAGAGATAGAAATGAATGGAAAATGTTAAAAAATAGTGAAAGATTAATTTTTCATTATTATTATAATTCTAGATTAGTTAACATTGTTTATTTATTTCTTTAGAATAATCGTAAAAAAAAAAATTGTAACATTTTTTAATTTTAGAAAGTTTTTCATTAATTTTTAAAAAAGACAAAAAGAAATAACAAAAGAAATTACTACCTTACACCTGTAGCACCTTTGCATTTTAACATATGCTCATCAAGTTGCATTTGTTTAAGAAATGAGCGACCACATTTATCACATGAAAATCCTCGTTCCGCATGAATTTTCATATGACGATTGAGATCGAACTTGAAAATGAATGTCTTTTGACATAATGGACATTGATGTGGTCGTCCACCGGCATGAATCATTAGATGTTGTGTTAAATGTCCTTTCTAAAATATCACTTTTCATTTTTGTTCTTAATTCCACATAAATAAATTTAAACAAAACAACAAAAAAAAAAAAAAAAGAAAAGAAAAAAAAAAACTAATTGTATGAAATCAATTTAAAAAGATAAAAAATTTTTTTTAAAAAAATTCATATTATTATTAGCTAATGCATTATTAGTAAATTTTTTGAAATTTTATCAAAAATTAATTTTCACTAAAATAAAAAATAATATTATATAAATTATAATAATTAATGTAGCACTAATTTTTAATAAAATTTATTAAAAATACCTGAAAGAAAGCTTTGCCACAATGTGGACATACATGTGATCGTTCACCGGTATGCCACATCCAGTGCTTCTTAAGAAGTTGCCGAGTACCAAATTGTTTACCACATTGTGTACACGTATGAGGTTGCTCACCGCTATGTATACGCATATGTGTACTTAATTCACGTTTTATTGCAAAAATTACGTGGCATTCATCACACTCGTATTGCGGCTTATCACGATGCGTATGCTTATAATGTATATTTAGCTAAAATAATCAAATGTTTAATTATTTGAGAAATTTCAAAAATTTCTAATTTTGTAAATTTTTTTTTTTTTTTCATGTCTTTTATTCAATTTTTATTTTAAGTATTTCAAATAATTCAACAAAATGTATGAATGAAAGGAAGAAAGAAAAGAAAAATTGAATAATTTTTAGCCTTTTAGCTATGATTATTTGACGTTAATTTAATATGGAATAAAGTAAAAGAAAAAAAGAAAAAAATGAAATATATTAAGTGTGAGAATAAATTTGAAAACTCATCGAATTATAACTTGATATAATTTTACAAATTTTCCACTGTTCAAAAAAAAAAAAAGTGATGATACATGTTAAATCTTAATGTATGCATAAATTTGAGTAATTCTAAATTTGTACAGATAAAAATTATGAATAACATAAATAAGCGCTTCCTTATTTCATGAATAAAATGAAAATATAAAATTTTTTTTTTCCTTTCTTCCTTTTTCTAACTTTTTTTTTTTTTTTTTTTTTTTTTTGAAGGAAAAGAGAAGAGAGAAGACAAATGCAGCTTTCTGATGCATTTTTGGAAGCATCATGCGTAAATAGGCGATCCTCCGACACATTTTTTGATTCTTTTAAAAATATCAAATCAATGGTAGCTTATGAATCAATAAAAATCATTGAAAAGTAAACTCTCTTGTTTCCATTTAAAATTATTCTCTTTCAACAAACATTCAGGAATATTAGTTTCAAATGTTCAACATTTGTAAAATAAAAAAAAAAAAAAATCGAAAATTTGTCACAAATATTTCTCAAGAGTAAAGTATTTTATGATGTAAAACATTTGATAAATATGTTGTAAAATAATTGATAAATAAATGTAAAATAATTAATTAATCAAGTAGTTAACAAAAAAATTCTTTTTATAACAGTTATATTTTAAAAAAAGGACTAAAGCATAGGCAATCTCAATTTTTAAAGTAAAATTTTTTGTACCACTATTCTTTTAAATTTTAATGCAACAAAAATCAGAAAATGAATGATTTAACTTAAAAGAATTTAATAACAATTGATTGAAAACATTGAATAAATTTTCTAAACAAATAAAAAAAAAAAGTTTTTTTTTTTTTTGTTGATCTTTCAGACCTGTGATCGTTCGTGGAATAATTTTGGACAAAATCGGCATCCAAATGTTTTACAACCTTCAGCATTTGTACTTTCATCCAAATTATAATTAATACTATCCATTGTACCATCAAAATTTGATAAATCTGAGCTACTTGGTGAATTACCGCCACTTTCACCATCCTATAAATATATAAACAAATAATTTTACAATGATCAAATAAATTTTAATTAAAAAATAATTAAGAAATTTTCGAAAAATATACATATATATACTATTATGATTTTATTTTTAATTTAATATCAATTATTCAATTTAGAAAAGAAAAAGTTTAAGAACATACATGTTCCATGGTATCCATTTTTTGTTCATCTGTTCCATTTTTTAAACAATATTGTCCATCATCTTCATCTATTTCCGATTTTGATAATCGTAATGTTGCCGTACCATTTGTGGTAACCGTATCGGAACGAAATATTCCAGCATGCATTTGTTCCATATGTCGTTCCAAATCATCCAATGTTGCATACGAATTTGGACATTCATTACAAACATAACAACATTCATCAGTCATTTTATTCCTTTCTGCTGTTTCGTCTTTTCCACCTTTTTCTTTTTCTCTCTTCCTCTCTCTCTCTCTTCTTTTCCCTCTTCTTTTTTTTTTTTTTTCTTTTTTTGCTCAGCAATTCGTCTAAAAAAAGAAATAGAAATTAAAATTTATATCAAAGAGAAAAGAGTATGATTATAACTTAAAACGTATCAGTAATACACAAACATATATACATATATGTATATAAATATTTCCAAATTATTGGTAATAAATGTTGATTCTTTCTTTTCTTTTTTTCTTTTTTTTTTTTTTTGTTTTGAATCATATTAATAATTATATGAATAATTTGTTCTATTATAATGATGAAACTAATTTATCAATTAATGTAAATTAAAAATGCAAATATTTTTCCATAAAATTAAAGAGAAAAAAAAAATCTTCTCTATAATTTTGATGATTCAAAGAGAAGTATTCTGATAACTAATTTTTGGATAAACAATTGGTTAATAATGATTGAATTATATATTTAAAAAAAAAAAAGAAAAATACAGTGCATGAATTCCAAAAAAAAAAAAAAAAAAGTGAATAAATTGTGTGTAAACTAAGGGCATAAACAAAAATTGTTAATATAAATCATCCACAATCACATGATTTGCAATCTTCACATGTTTAATTTTACCTCTATCTCCTCCCATTTTCTCTCCCTCCTTCATCACCTTGTCAAACCTTCATCTCCTCCTCCTCATTTACCTAATTTCTCTTTTTTTTCCACTTTTACTTTATTACTCTTGCCTAAAATCTCGAAAACTCTTTTTTTTTTCCTCCAAAAAATCCCATTTTTATATATCATGAATTTTATAGGTCATTCTTAAACAGTGTGATAAAATTCAATTTTTATATGTTAAGCTTAAAATTCTTTCAAAAATTTCAACTTTTTTCAATTCAAAAGTTTTAAATTTGAAAAGTGAACATGAAACATATATATCTGGAAATAGTTCCGTTTGCACATGTGTTTTTGTTGAATCATTTTAGAAAAGTATTCATTTCAAAACTAATAATAACCATTTATTTTTGTTGCTGTCCTCTCTTTCTCTCTCTCTCTCCCTCTCTCTCTCTCAACATTAATTTTGAATATGATTTTTTTTATAGAATTTGAAACTTATCTTTTGTAAATTAAGACTGTATAAATTTTAAAGTAACATTTAATTTTCATGCATATTTTATAGATTTATTAATAAATCATCTTTTTGCTTCGTTTTTTTTTTTTTTTTTTTTCGATAAAAAAGAAAAATGAAAAAGTTAAGGAATAATTTTTAATATATCTCTTCCTCGCCTTTCTCATCATTATCATCCTGATTTCAATTAATAAATAAACAAATTCACTAACTTATTCGCTAATTCCCATCATTTCCATTCGTAAACTATGACGAAACTTATTTCCTTCTTTCTTTCTCTCTCTCTCTCTCTCTGTCTCTTTCCTTCTTCTTCTCTCTCCACATATATGAGTAACATTAAATCTTCCATGATTTCATTTATTTTATAGCATTTAAATTTTCAAATGACAAAATTAAATTGATGAATAAAAAAATATGACAAATTATGATTGCATATATAAATTAACCAATTATAATTTTATAACATTGATACTTTTTTTTTTCTCACCCAATTATTCATTTAATAAACTTATTAAAAATTAATTAGACAATAATTAGTACCAATAGGATTAATAATATTGCTTAAAATTTTATTGTTACTCTAATATACAATCAAATTTTCGTTTTCAATATACTAGATATTCATTTATAACATCAAATTAGCATGCTACGGTAATTATGAAATATTATTGTGCTATTATTATCATTACCATATTATTATTATCTTGATTTCTTAGAATTTTAAATGAAATAACATAATTAGGAAAAAATAAATAAATAAACTGGTATTAACAAATAGTAATGTAACTTTAGTAATGAAAACATTTCAAATGAAGTAAAATAGAATATGCGCGTAGAAAAAAAATAAATAAATAAATAAAATAAAATGTGAAAGATATGAAATTTCTACGCAAAATTGTAGCAAAAAAATTTAGAAAAAAAAAAAAATAGAAAAAACATTTTTAAATCAAAACATGCTTATGTGCTTTATTAGCTACAGTCTGTTCAACTTTTTCTCTTCCTATATCATTTGTATACTTATGTAATCGTTTTAAATGCTTGAATATTTGCATTTCTCAAATTCAAATTCATTCAATTTATGTTCTCATATTCCTGAATAACTTAAAAAGTGAGAGCGAGTAAGCTGGATAAGTGCTGGAATTGACTAGTTTGATTAGTTTGAATTCATTGTAAACTTAATTCTTTCTTGACAACTTCTACCATTTCCCTTCCTTCTCTCTCTTTTCTCTCTCTCTCTCTCTATTTTTTTCAAATCTCATTCTTCTCATTTTCAATTCTATTTTGAACCTAAAATTTCAAATGTCTTAAATTAATTAAGCATATGCAAATGTATTATGTAGTGTAACACAGTAAGCACAAATTATTTTTTTAACAATTTCATAAAGTAATCAATGTTTTAACAAATAATTAAAGAGTGATTAGATGAGAGCGTAAAAATTTAAGATAGTAGATGAAAAAAACGATACGAAAAGAAATATAATGATGGTAAATTGTTGGACAAGATATTTTAAAAAATGAACAATGAAATATTTGTCAATTTTATATTAAAATAAAATTTATTATATGAAAAATTTTAAGATGAAGAAAAAAAAAAAAAAAAGAAATTTAATGTAATGTAAGAAAAGGATAAGTTAAAATGATTAAATTTAAAAAACAAACATATTAAATTAAATATATGCTAAAATATATTATTAGCAATTAAGCATTTCAATCTTAACAGTATTAAAAATAAAAGGCCTAAAGGAAAATTCCAATTCATGCTGCATCATATATCTCTCGACCGACTGCTTCCCCGTTCTTCACTCATTATAAGCTAATCTGATCAAACGACTAAGAAATAAGCGCAAACATACATATACACAATACACATACATACACACACACATGCATAACATCCCATGCTAACATAGCAGAAGGTTCATGTTCTACTTCAATTCAGCTCAGCTGTTCCCAATCAGCCAAAATCGCTTAACGATTTCTGACAACTTCTTGACTTCACTTTAGTGTACTTCCCAATAAACCACATTTTGTAACAAAATGAGCCGCTTTCACTTCTCTTATCTTTTTAATCAAATTTAAAATATAACAAATATTTTTTAGTTATATTTGATAAAAATTTAATCAATGATAAAGTAAATTAATTTTTAATAATATTAAAATAACAGAAAAAAAAAAAAAAAAAAGAAAAAGAAATTGTTATTGAAAATTAAGCAAAAATAGAAATAATAAGGAGAAAGAAGAAAGAAAGAGAGAGAGGGAAAGAGAAAGGGAGAGAAAGAGAAAGAAAAGTGTGATAACTAAACACGGAGGAAGAAAAGGCTTATGAAACTAAGAAGTATCATTTGTAGTTCACCTTTTCTTCCTTTCTTTTTTCATTCATTCCTTTCCTCTTTCCTTCCTTCCTTCCTTCCTTCCTTCATTCCTTCCGTCTTTCATTTACTTTACAATAACTTAAAATCAAAGGATTTCTTGATGGTGATAGGATGAAATTTGATCTTGCCTGTCTATAACATATATAAAACTTCAAAATGCAAAGTTCAACTTTTTTTTTTAATCGATAAAGGAAAATTATGAAATTGGAAGTTCAATTTGTATAAAATTATAGCTGATGATGTCAGTGATAGTGATGATAATATTAATAAGAATGATGATAATGCTAATAATAATAATAATAATAATAATAATAATAATAATAATAATAATAACAATTTAAGCAAGCATAAAATAATGAAAAAATTAGAATCGTTAATTTATAATCAAAATTTTTAGCTTTCAATAGAATTTTTGTAACTAAATGATAGCTATAGTCATTTTAACTTTCTATTTTCTTTGAGCTTTCTTTTTTTCACGTCAATCTTTGGTCTAGACGTTTTCATAACAGATAGCAAATTTTTTTTCATTCTTTTTCTCTCTTTCACTTTTTCCGTTTTGTTTTTTTTTTTCTTGTTCGAACACTTTAACAATTTTTAAACTAATCAAAGTTAGAAGTTCATTGTAAATAGCATAATAAATAGTTTCAAAATAAGTCAAGGATGATAGAAAAAAGAAGAACGAGAAGTAATTTTATAAATTGAAAAATGAAATTTTTTGAAATATCGTAAATTTGTTATTTATTTTTTGAAATGATTTCGTAGAATATTTAATATTAACATTTGCTAATACCAAAAATTTCATTTCCTTTTCATTGTAACCTAATTCTATTTAATTTATTACAAAAATTTCAAGTTTCAGAAATGAAAAAGATGAAAAGAGTTAACGTTTGAACATTTGACAATACTTGATGAAAAAGAATAAATAATCTTAGGTATGTATGAAAATATAGATTAACATTGATTCTTTTTATAAATTAAAATTTTTGAGAAATTTAAGCATTGAACAATATGTTTAAAATGAACAAAAATACTTCAAAAAGAAAAAAGGAAAAAAAAAGTTTCTGTAATATTAGAAGTATAATTGTGTAAAAAGCATCCATAATATATAAATGCTAATAATACTATTTATGAAATAATACTTTTTGAAATTATCATTAATCTAATTGAAATGTTAAAAAAGAGAGGGAGAGAAACTAGGAGAGAAAGAGTATACGAAAGAGGGAAAAGGTTTTAAAAAAGAGAAAGAAAGATGATATGCATATATGTGAAAATATATGAAAAATTCATGTCAACTGATGAGAACGGGTGATGATCAAACGTTAGTTTACGATGACAATGATGATTGGATGTATGTGCATGTATGTATGCTTGTGTATGTATGTATGCATGTATATATATGTGCATGTAGATGTGTGTGTGTGTGTGCATGTGTGTGCTTGTCCCTTTTCTCATTTTACCGTATGCGCTTATCCCCGATATTAGGCTATATTAGGAGTTTTACGGTAGAAAAAAGGAAAGAAAGAGAGAGAGCTGAGAGAGAGAGAGCACAATAGTGAAATTAATGAATTAAGATTTTCAATCTCTTAAATTTTACCGAATAATAATCATAGAATTATGATATAATAATATTCAATATTATTATATAATTATGTATAATCGAAAATTTCCTAAAATGTCCAAATTCTTTCAATAAAAAAAAAAAAAAAAAAAAAAAAAAAAAAAATATGAAATTGATTGATGAATAATTGAGTGTAAAAACACTGTGGATAGTTGAATAAAAATATTTGATGGACTTTTGTTACAAATTTAGAAAATAAACTAATATGTATATACGATGTACTTTAAGTTACTTCGGTAAACAAAAGTTTAATTGAGAAATAAAAGTAATCATAGTAAATGTATCATGAAAAAGGAACAAAAATTTATAAATCGCTTTTTCTGTTATCACGTTACAACAACAATAACAGCAATAGACAACAACAGCAATAATAATAATAATAATAATAATAATTAATAATAGTAATAATAATAATAATCGCTTTTTCTGTTATCACGTTACAACAACAATAACAGCAATAGACAACAACAGCAATAATAATAATTAATAATAGTAATATTAATAATAATAAGGATAACAGTAATAACAATAACAATGTACAGAAACTGTTCGACTTTTTTAAAATCTTTTCTTTTTTCTCCTGCCAAAAAATACGCCTCAGTTCTAAATTTCACAGAATGTTTGCAAAAATTTTACTAAAAAATTTATATAAAGTCAGTGCACTTATTATGCTAATTTTTAACATTATTGTCCCTATTATTATTATTAATTGTTACTATTACTATTACAATTATTATTATGTATTATTGTTAATACTTATTTTTACTATTGTAATTATTGCTATTGTTATCGTTACTGCTGTTTAATCTTTGAAATAATTGTTTGATTTTGTATGAAATTTTTGAAAATTTCAAAAAACTTTAGTTAAATGTTTAAAATGATAAAAACAAAACAAAAAGTACAAAAGGATACACATGTATTTATTGATTCATTCATTAACAACCCGCACTTTTCTCAATCATATTTTTAGTCAAGTAGAATGGATATCAATCAAAAAGCGTTTCAAATGTTGCCATTTTAATTTTGAAAAATTTTTTTTCTGTTGAAATTTTTTATTTTTTATATTAAAATTTCTTTCATAACATGATATATATGTATTCGTTTTTTTTTTTTTGAAATTCATTAATGAAAGATTAATAAAAAATGGGAAGAAAAGTGAGAAAAAAAAAGAAAGAAATAGTATAATATTGTAAGTTAACTTAAAAGCAATATTTTTTGCGTTTTACAAAAAAAAGAAAAAAAACCGTAATGAATTTGTATTAATAACATGTTTTTTTTTTCGTTTTTTCCTCCTTTTTTTTTTCAATAAAATTCCATAAGTAACAATTGTTCCGTGATTAAAGGCCTATTTTGCATTACTTAATGATTCATACTAAAAGTTCTGTTTACACCCGATGTGCTACAATTCAAACTTTTGAAAATAGTATGATGTTAAATAAAATACAAACTAGTTCATATTTGATTAAAGTCATGATGATAGGGAAAAAAATTTTTCTATAAAAGCATCAAAAATTAAAATTACAGTGCTTTTTTCTTTTTTATTTTTATAATGTAGGTTATAACCAAGCGGTGAAAAAAAAATGCTGAAATTAGAAAAGTTGTGAAAATTTTTTAAAGAATGGAAAAGAGAAGAACACAAGCATTATCAATGAATGATTGAACTAAAGATTTTTGCTGTTTAAAAGTTAAACAAAGAAAAAATTTTTTTTTCTTGGCTATTAAAAATATTGTACTAAAAGCAGCAGGAAAATGGAAAAAAAAGCTTCTTCCAATTTTTTTTTAATAAAAAAAATAGAACTTTTTTTGTATTTTTTTAAGTGCAAAAAAGAGTTAAGCGGTAAAGTTTTGAAAAGATAACTTCGTTTTTCGTTTTTTTTTTTTTTGATTTTAATTTAAAAAAAGACAAATGTTATGAGAGAAAATAAAGATTCCTTAGAGAAACTAAAAGCATTATTAAAGTTCTCATGTAAATTATATTAATTATGAAAATATTATAATTTATTGTTTTATTTTAGAATGAAGTGGAACATTTATCTTAGTATATAATATTTATAATTGCAAAATGAATTAATACATTATATGTTAAATTTTATGCTGTAAGGAAAAAGAATTTTGAGAAAAGATTATACGAAATTTTTGGAAATGTCAATTTATTACCTGGTAAGTATATTAATTCAAATTTTGAAAAAAATCCAAAAAGAGATAAAATCAATTTAATGCAAAAATAAAAAATAAATTAAATGAATATGACATAAAGAAAAGGAAAGTGAAGGATTGAAAGATGATACATCAAAATGATAGCTATATTTTAAGAAAATACAATTCCAGCAAAGGTCATTTTATTGACACAATTTGTCGGTCACAACAAACATTTATGGGTATGTCTTTCTGGTAACTCGGGTCATCATCATCCCTTTCTTTTCAACATGCTTCTTTATTTAAGGGGTGTATGCCTGTTGACCTTTTCTTGCAATCTTTCTCAATCGATTAACTTAAGCGATAATTGTTCGTTTTTCTGTCATCGTTTACTTACATTAATCATTATGATAACACTCATAATTAATCTCATCATGATCAACTCAAATGATGCTACTTCTAGCATAACTTACAATATTAGCGCTGATCTATTATCAGATATCACCATCACCATTAATTCAGTATATAAATGAACAATATTATTATATACTAATATTATAGGTACGAGTATATCTACAAAATAAAAGCAAAAAAAAAAAAAAAAAAAAAAAAAGAAAGAAAAGAAAAAGGAAACATGAAAGAAGAGAAAGCTAAACAAATGAAAGAATTTTAAACAACATTTCATCAATTGTTAATCAAAAATTTTTTTTACTACTTATGTTAAATTTTAAGGTTAGCGATATTACAACTGAAGCAGAAGCGGCAAAAGAAGTGCTAGTTAAGGCGATATAAAGTATCCATCTCAGTACCTCAAATCATTATATCTTTACCGAACTGCTTGCTTATATGAGATACTTCTGTGCATCGTATCCTGAATGCATACATACATACATACATATACACACATACATACATACATACATGCATACATACATACATACATACAAATGTATAGATATTTAACGGATCCCTCCCACAAGTATCACCATTTGCAGGATGTGTCGGTGATAAAAAGCGTTAGTGGTATTAGGTATGGAGAAATTTGAGAAAGATGTGTGTGTGTGTGTGTGTATGTGTCTGTGCGTGTGTATGCGTGTGTGTGTGTATATGTGTATGTGTGCTTCACTTAGTTAGCTATAAGCTAACTCATTTGATTGCTAAAGCAAAGAGTGAATAGCACGAAAATTTGGCAAAAACGATATGAAGATGCTGAATTCGGAATATGGCGTCGCAATGTAGTTGGTACCTTCAGGCACCAATCCCGAAGCATTAAGCCCATCGTAATATCATTATTA